TTTATTTATTTATTTTCGCAAATATGTTTAAACATGTTGCAAATCATGATACGCTTGCAGCATTAATAATGCAACAGTAGCAGATGCCCAGGTACGCTTTTACAGTTTATCTACAGCATTTTAATTTACCGCAGTTTACCTTTCAAGTATATTTTATTTAGACTGTAATTTTATTACCCTGCATGCAAAACCAAACACTGACATCAAAACTGTGAAACATAAACTACAATTTTCAAACACTTAAACCCTGGAGTCATCGCGATGACAAGAGCTTGGAGCCAACTTTGTGGGCAGCACGGCGAGGAGCTCAGAACAAGCAACAACAAGGAGATCTGCTTCAGCATTTATCTCTTCCTAGTATAATAATAACACATAAGGCTTCGAGGTAGCTCGCCTAGCGTGGCGTAAATCCTCACACTCCCTTTTTAGGCTCTTGTACAATCATTTTGTGCAGCATAAGTCCTAACTCGCTTTAGGTTCCGAGGTTATCGTACGATACGATGTAAACCCTCATTTCTCTGTAGGCTATTTGTATAATCGGGTATTATGCAAATGTAAGTCCTAAGTAATAAAATTGGCAGGATTGAACTATTGAATAACATCTTTTCAAAAATATAACCACACAGTAGGATAGTTTGGGAAGTCACTAAGGGTTCTCCTTAGGATCTGTGACATCCCCTACCTTTTCTTTCCTTTGGACTCTTGAAATAACTGTTCATGTTTGAGCCATTTCCACTTGGTTTTCCTCATCCTACCTTGAAAACCTGAACCTTGAATTCTTGAAGACTAGAACCATTGATCATTATCGAGAGTTTTCTCAAGTGACTCCCGTCATTTGGGATATAATTAACTATAGGGGCTTGCCTCTATAGGGAACTTAGAACCCAGGTAAAATAAACCCTATTTAATCCTTGTATTAAATAGGGAAATTTGTCGGTCATATATAAAAGGTTCGCAGACCAAACGGATGTCACAAATCTCTTAGTTTGCAGGATTGGGTCTATCGTTGAGGTCTACACTTATCTCTCGGGAAGGTGTAGTATTCGCGGTATCAGGTACGATTATGCAAACTATTGGATGAATGAGATCCATTTGGTCTCATTTTTTTCAAAAAAAAAGAACATGCTGCTTTCAAAACCCAAACTATATATCTTTTATATTTAAATTAAATCTCAAAAAATTATTTTTATAGTTCATATTTTCAAATCTATATCTATCGAAAAAGTTGACCGACAGCCAAGTTCACGTTTGGCTCAATTCAAATTCGAATTTGCTCGTGTTAAGGTAGATTTTGAGTTACACTTAAGCTTGTATGTTATAATCATTCCAACTCTTTCGACAAAAAATATGTTTTTATTCTAAAATATTGTTTTCATCCCCATCCCATAAAGAATACCGCCGTCACAAAAATTTGGGCAGCAATTTAAGTACATACCACTCGATTTTATTTATTTACATGAGAAAAGCCAAGCTGCATTGGCAGTCAGCTTTTTGGGAGAAAAGGCATTTACATACATTCCTCCCACATGAATTAATTTAGGAACATTTACATACATACCACCTAAATCCTATTTATTTACATATCTAGCACCTAAACTTATCTATTTTATAATTACACCACCCAAATAATTTTTATAAATGATAAATTTAGCCGTTTTTAATGTATACAAAAAATTAATACTAAAAAATATATAAATAAATATTATTAATTAAATATTTCAAGTAAAAAAGAGTTGAACATGAAAAAACGAAAATTTATTTGTGTTCGCCCTATACATATCTAACATCAAAACTTTACTTCTCACATTTATACCATCCAAATTTTTCATATAATGTCTGTTGTGAGATATGTACTTTCTGACATAGAAATGAAACGCAAAGAACACAAGCAAACATAGTTCGTTTACGCGGTTCGATCCAACTAGATCTACGTCCACGGAAGGGAATCAATCAAATAGTTCACTAAATCAAAAGAAATATAGAATATATAGCTTATACATAGAGATGAGCCCTCATCTTCCTTCTATGGCCTCCCTCTCAAGCGACACCTTGATACAAGGCCTCAAGATGCTCTCCTCCTCTCTAGCCCTCTAGCTATTCTTTCCTCCTTTGTGGTAGCTTAAGATCTCTTCCCTTGCTCTCCTAAGCCTCACACCCTTTCTATTTATAGAACTAAGAGAGTGGTAGGTGGTAGGTAGATAGGTGAGCGGTAGGTGAGAGGTACCACATTACAAAAGTGTTATTTTACCTTAATTCAATAATTGAGGGTCAAAATAACAATTATCCACCTTGACCCTCAATTGAGAAGCTTCGAAGTAAAAATTCCCTCCACCTGGCCTTTGAGGGACTCTCAGCCCTTGCTTGAGTTTGCTAAGTCCAAACAGTACATGGACTTAGCAATCACGGTTCTTCCGATAAGAGAGTACAACCTTTTTTTCCTGACTCGTTGTATGACGACACGAGGGCTTTTGATTACTCTGATGCAACCATTCTCTGCCTTGAACGAGCATCCGCTTGACTCCAACGTACCCAAAGAAATCAGATTTCTTTTGAGCTCTGGTACGTACCTGACATTTTTAAGTACTCGTTCAACTCCATCAAACATCCTTATCCTGATTGATCCACTTACAACAACCCATGAGCTTTATTGTCTCTCAGTAGAACGGACCCATCATTTTCCTGTTACAGTGTCTCGAACCAGTTTTTGTGAGGACACATGCGAAAAGAACACCCTGAGTCGAGGATCCACTCCTTACTGGATTCAGATTCTGTGATCACCAGGGCCTCAGCAGAATAGTAGTCATCAGAGGCTACGCTTGCTTCTCCTGATTCTTCTGGCTCTTCTTGGTACTTATTATTCCTGTCTGGGCAGTTCCTCTTGAAATGACCGTCCTTGTGGCAATGATAGCACTTGAAAGATCCCCTTGATGACTGATTCCCGCCATCCTTGCTTGACCTTGATCTGTACTGACTATTTCTTGAATCTTTCCGATCTTCCTCTGACAATAAGACTGTCTCCGCTGACTTCCTTGTCCCTGTCATGCTTTCTCTGAAGTTCTTTGGCTCTAATCAGAGATTGAACCTCCTCCAGAGTAATAGTTTGCATCCTTCAATAGAGCATTGCATCATTGAAATGTTCGTAGCTCTTAGGAATAGAGTTTAGCAACACCAGTATCTTGTCCTCATCGTCCATCTTGACGTCGCTATTCTCGAGGTCGTCGATGATCTTGTTGAACTCGTCGATATGCTCTGAGACGGATTTGTCTTCATGCATTTTGGAGTATAGGCGCTGCTTCAGAAAGAGCCTATTAGCCAAAGACTTTGTCAGGTAGAGTACCTCGAGTTTGACCCAAAGTACTTGAGCCGTTGTCTCCCTCGACACCTCCCTCAAAACTTTGTCGCCCAAACTCAGGATTATCAAACTGTGGGCATTGTTCAGTATGTCGATCTTCTCCTTCTCGGCCATGTCGGCCGGCAATGTCGTCGACCCTTGTAGGGCTTCTGCATTCTGCAACACCATGCTGAACCAATAGAGCTCTCATCTTTACTCTCCATAGGCCGAAGTTGTTCTTCCCGTTAAATTTCTCAATGTCGAATTTGGCGGAACTCATTGTCGTGGCTAAAATTTCTTCCAATAAATTCTACCTGCTGTCCTTCCAGGAACTAGGCTGAAATCACCAAAATGTTGTACTACTGTATAGAAACTAAAAGTTTTCAGCCTAAATCTGTCTTTTAATGCCTTGCTGTCTAAGAAATTCTCACCAAATTTCTTTCATTCTCCCCGTGAACTCCACTGCCTTCGCCAACTGAACGGAGAGCTCCGATCTCTTCTGGCAGAGATCACACATGTTCACCAGAAAAAACTTTCTGTTTTGTGCTCCTGCCTCATTCCCGCAGGCACTCCTCTACGTCCAGCAGTACAAATCAGGAATTCCTCCTCTACCTCTCACACGAGAATAACTGCCTCTCCAGAGCCATCGCACCTTGCCAAACTGCTCAGGTCCTCCTGCTTCACGAACTCCCGAACAGGGAACTCCGCGAACCCTCCTCTGCGCGATCTCCACCTCTTCCCTCTGGCCGAGCTGCTCGCAAAACTGAACTCCTGCTCTAAAATCCTCTACTGACAACCCTGTCGCAAAATTTCGGCCCTCGCTCGCAGACTGTTCCTCCTCCGTCTCGCCGAACCGCACAACCTGCGGCGCGAATCCAGTCGATCAAAGCTTCCACTGCTCTGCTCATCAAATATATCGCTATTCGACTGTCTGCGACGCGATCTGCTTGCTCCTCTGTTCGTGAATGCCGAACTCCTCTTCTTTGTCGTCGCTAGCCACAAACACCTTTATGCGAACACCTCTAGCCAAGAAGTATGGATCTTCCCACAGACGCCGCCAATTATTGTGAGATATGTACTTCCTAGCATAGAAATAAAACACAAAGAACACAAGCAAATACAGATCGTTTACGTGGTTCGATCCAACTGGATCTATGTCCACGGGAGGGAATCAATCAGAGGGAATCAATCAAATAGTTCACTAAGGCAAAAGAAATGAAGAATACATAGCTTATACATAGAGATGAACCATCATGTTTCTCTATGATCTCCCTCTTAAGCGACACATTGATACAAGACCTCAAGATGCTCTCATCCTCTCTAGCTCTCTAGCTATTCTCTCATTCTTTGTGGTAGCTTAAGATCTCTTCCATTGCTCTCCTACTAAGCCTCGCACCCTCTCTCCTCTCTATTTATAGAAGAAAGAGAATGGTAGGTGGGAGGTAAGTGGGTGGTAGGTGAGCGGTATCACATTATAAAAGTGGCCTTTTAACTTAGTTCAAAATTGAGGGTCAAAATAGCAATGTCAAAAGTGAATACAACTTTTCATGCATGGTTAATGTGGCGTATGTGTGAAAATACAGAAACTAAGTGATATGTAAGTAAATCTTAAAATTGGAAAAGGTTCGGGAGGATCGATCATTTCATATAGTTGAACGGCTATTCTTACCTGCGGAACAAGCATAACTCCGACAGTAATACCAGCCATGATATCTACTTGCAGATACTCAGCCCACTCGTACGTCCGAATCCAGCGAACGCAAGGCAACAACAGCTCCATCCAATCCATGGCCGTCATCACTTCAAGCTTAGCTCTCCACGGAGCCAGCAACGGCGAAGGCGACGCCACTCCCGGAGACGATGGCGACGGTTGCTCCACCGTCGCCACTCTGACCTGCCTCGCTGTTCCACTGACAGACTCTCCTTGGACAATATCCAGATTGCATGAACTCATCGCCGAATTCTGAATTCTTTGCCTTTATTGATCTCGAGAATCTGTTGTGTCTTTTGAGACGAGAGTGAGAGGCAGTGAGAGGAGCTGAATCTTAGAGATAAAAATCTCTTTTTTTTTTTTTTTTGGTAAACCCAGCCTTTTTTTAAAGGCTCTATTTTAAGAGATGCGGAGTGGATGGAAAACAGGAGAGGATAGGGACTCGGGTGACTTGCATTGATTTTAAAATATGAAATTTATTGTAAATTTTTTTGGAAGATGGAAGATTTACATACATACCTCTTCTGTATCCACATATATAACCAACTGTTTCCAGAGTCTTCTCCCTCTCTATTTAGTACTCTGTATCTCAGTCCTGATGTATAGTACTATACACGTTAAATGTCCATCTACACTTCTTTCCTTCCATTCGCACCCTGTACTTCAGTATTTCAATTTCAGATTTGTCAATCTTTCATACCGCCGATGGCTTCAACTGTTTGTAATAGAAAACTGGCAATACAATAGCCTTCTCTTTTCATTATCTTCTCTTTGTTCTTTTCTACAATACTCTGCTCCAAACAGAGTCTTCATGGCGTCGGATCATACAGCCTAACGGTGCACCCAATCTCCGGTCATCTTCTACCACCTTCAGTCCAGCATCAATGGAGCATTCAACAACAACAAACTCTAGTACTGATGGCAGAACTTCATCAACAATGGGAAGCATTGCCATCCCCATCCACGGAGTCCACCTAGAGATAGATCTTCAACCTAAGAGTTCAAAAACGAGCTTCACCACATCCAACGGGGAATCAATCCATGGCCAACTATCTTTCCTAATTCAAATCTAAAATCAATCAGCACTAATCACTGACCCATCGGCTTAGACGATCTATACCCGTTATCTTTACGATCTAGGGATAATTCTAGCAAATGAAACAACCTGTGTTCTTCATATTTTGCACACAACGGATCATCCCACGGCACTTTCTTCCATTAAAGGCAGAGGACAAGTCCCATCATTCCATCTCACTCTCAACGGAAGCCGCGCCATCTATCCACCTCCCGCCAAAGCAGACAACAACGCAGCTTCTCACTCACTGACGGAAAATACCTATTCCGGCCGTCAAATGACATAGGGGCAAGAGGATGTTATGGACTAACTTAACTCACTGACTTAGAGCTCTTCATGGACATTAAATCAGTTTAATACTCACAACGCTTAGACTTGTAATCACAAAACATTCTAGAAAGAAGAGTAAGTAAACTATTGGAAAAAGATACACTTCACTAAGAATGAGTGATCAGAACATTTGAACGTTTGAAAACCTTGAATTGTTCTTGGATTGATACAAAATGAGGAGGGACTCTATTTATAGTTATATTACATTAGAATATACTAATTTTTAAATAGTTTTACATTATTCCTTGTATATAAATAATTCTAGAACTTTCCAGAATATTCTAGAGTTCTCTTTCTCTTGAAACTTGTTTCTTTCAACATATTTTTGAAATTAGGTAGAAACTTCTAAAATTCTTTTGAATATTCCTTTTTTTTTTCTAGTTTTTCCTAGAATGTTGTGAAATTTTCTAGAGTCCATTGGATTGCTCTCTTTATTATGATCTTCTCTAGAATCTTTCTTTTCTATGGTTAACCTGTCAATCATTCATGAAAATGACGGAGTCAGACAACTCGCTCTAGTTCGAATGCTCATCTTGTAGAAATTATGTTTCCCTCTCCTTTTGAAACTAAATATACTCCCCATTTCTTATAAATATCAAACTAATACTAGCTTTAATTATTTTTATATTTCTATCATCTAAATATTCCATATTGATACGTCACCAACAAATTTTCATCAACCAGCACGAATCTCGATGCAATTTTTTGAACAAGAAACATATAAACTTTAATTAAGAATCATCCAGAGCTTCGATTTCAGCAAACTTATAGTCAAACTGATCGACTCGATGAGACAGACCTAATGATGTGAAAGTCAATCCAATCCAATTCAAATCAAGCCCATATCAAATCATCAAACCACTCTTGGAGGATTTCTAGGGGGCATTTGAAAGGTCAAACAAATATCGAATTCAACGAGTTTATAGTCGAATCGAGCGTCTCGAAAAGAAAAATCCAACAAGACCAAGATTGCTCAATTCTGACATCATTAAGGCACTCAAATGTCCATCAAACGTATTCCGATCAAAGGAAGCCATCCGGACCGTCCGATCAAAATGGTTCATATTCTTGCATTAATTGCACCCAAAACACTATAAATAGAGTCACACCCCTCACATGAGGGGGAGGAGGCTTAAGAGAGAACTTGAGGTTTTGAGAAGGAGCTCAAGTCCAAGATCATTGCCGTCGACCACGACCGCCGACCTCTGTCGACCACCGCCGACCACCGCACCACCATCGAACGCCCCCGATCACCGCTGACCTCTGTCAACTACTGCCGATCGTCATTGACTGTTGTTAGCCACCGCTGACCTCCGTCAACTATCGCTTACTAGACGTCATCAGTCGACGTTGTAACGTGGAAAGCTAATAACTTTTTCCCGCCTGTGGGACAAGGGGCATTTGTAATCATTAACTTATAGTAGATTTTTACAACTGGGTCAGACCCCGTGCTTTTTCTCTTTTTACGGGTTTTCAACGTAAAAACTTCTGGTGTGATCACAACTCGATTCATTTTTATCCGAGTGTGTGCTGAATTCTCGTGCAACGCTAAGACGATAATCAATTACTCTACCGCCACGAATTTTCTAGCACGCAACACATATCATGTTCAAAATATTATTATTATTATTATTAAGAGATAAAAATACCTTTTTAAATATAAATAAAATGAAATATATGTAAAATTAGAATTTAAATATTAGATATACAAAAACATAAAAATTGAGTGGTATGAATTTATTTATTTTTCTAAAAAACTTCTCTCTAAATTCTGAAATAATTAAACCACATAAATCATTTGACATTCATGCTAAATTTAATTAAATTACGTGAAATAATTTACCAATTTTTTTAAGGTTTAAATATATTAATTCAACTTAATTTTATTTTCTTATTTTTATTATTTTCAATTATATTAATAATTAACTAATTACTTATTATGTTGGTTAATTATTATTTATATTCTCTTTAGCCTAAATTTTCATGAATTAGTAATTCATTATTAATTTAATAGTATAATTGAACAATATAACATGTTATTTTAATCAAGCATTAATTAAGAAATTATAAATCTAGCTAAACACTAGAAAATAAGATTACATCATTAACATTATTAATTCAGTTAATTTAATATTTTCCAAAAAACTAATACTAATTAATTAATTAATTGAGTCATAACAAAAGCATTAATGAGATCATAGCATTTGAAACACTCGTCTTTCTTCTTAATGCTCATTCCTTGGAAAAAAAATTACTTTCACATCAATTTGTACGTGTGAATGTATGTACTCGAGTATACTCCCCACTGAGCATGTAAGTAATATTTTATCTATTTCTTGAGCTCGCTAGAGAAGCACATATAAAAGAAACAAAGTGCTCTATTCATGAGACTTGCAAATTTAAGTTATATCTAATAAAAAGGGTCATCAACTAACATTAAATGAACCGACTGCCGTGTGTAATTGTTGGAGTGAAATCTCTTAAGCACAATGAAGCCGAACTTTTAAACATTGAGGCGCCTTTCGGTGTAATTGTTGGAGTTCTACGAGGAACTCCAAAGTTAGTTGTGCTCACATGGGAGCACTTATGGGATGGGTAACTTCCAAGAAAGTTACACCAATTGGGATAAACCATAATGTTATTAGGACAAAGCAGACATTATCTCAATGGGTGAGAGTTCTTACTGTTATAAATAATATTAAAGCATTACACCAGCTTGAAGATGAGAACTAAGATATTATACATAACAAAGTGCTGCACCATGAGAGTCATCTCTTGAACTCAAGATGAGACGAAGTGCTACATAGATAGAGCCACCTCTTGAAGCTGTAGAGTCTATCTTTAGAATCATATCTGCTTGATTGATGATTCTAGCATAAGAAACTGATGGGACGTTAGTTACCAAAATGGAGATGACCTCAACTATAATGAAGCTGAATTCTTAAACATCAATGTGCCTTTTGGTGTAACGGTTGAAACTCTGAAGTTAAGTGTGTTATTGCTAGAGCACTCTTACCATATATAATAATGGGTAAAAACATGAGGCCATGAACCCAAGAAAGATAATATCTAGAAGGGTAAGAGTTAAGGCTCTCAAGAAAAAAATCACTATTAATAGACATTTTTATGCATATATAATAAGGCTCATATGTAAAAGATGAAGTTAAGGTGATGGATGTGTAAATATATAGGAATTAAGTGATATGCATGTAAATCTTCTTTATAAATTTGAGGGTACTTCCAAATACATTGATTTTAAAAACATAGAAGAACAATCACAACAATCTATCCTCCTTAAATGTGGGCATTCTCATATCACTTTAAATGCCCTTACACTCCCGAGCAAAATGACATCCTGCTACGTTTTTCATCTAGAAAGTTCTAGAGCTCCCCACACCAATGAAATTCGACGAATTATAAGTAAAATTATTTATAACATGATAAATTTATGTGAAAATATCAAATTTTGATTAAGGAAAAAATGGGCTGGCCCGACTTCAAGGAGAATCGCCCCCCAATTCTTATGTATTTACATACATAACATCTTATTTTTTACGTTTATACCGCCCAAATCTTTCATATCATCTCAAAAAGTGCCACTATTTTAACATTAAAAAAAAGCAAAATACACACTTTCATTCATAGGTAATATGGCAGATGTGTAAAAATTGAAGTTTAGCTGGTAGATATATAAATACACAGAAACTGAGAAATATGCATGTAAATCTTCCAATTTGATATGATTTCATATTATTGAACATCTACTCTTTACCTGGGGAACAAGCATAACTCCAACTGTAATACCAGCCATGATATCCACCTGAAGGTACTCAGCCCACTCATACGTTCGGATCCAGCGAGCACAAGGCACCAACAGCTCCATCCAATCCATGGCCGTCATCACCGCAAGCTTAGCCCTCCACTGAGCCAGCAACGGCGACGGTGGCACCATTCCCGGAGACGACGGCGGCCGGTGCTGCACCGTCGCCCCTCTCACCTCCCCGCTCCGCTGACAGAATCTCCTTCTGCAATGTCCAGATTGCTTGAGGTTGCATAAGATATCTCCATTTTCGCACTTTCAGAGCTGTTAGCTTTGGGGAAGTATGAGCATGGCCGATAAATACATATATGAAAAAGGAGGATTTGCATAAATAACCGCTCATTTTTTATGCATTTACATATTGAACACCTAAACTATAAGGCTTACATATATGACCCCTTAGAATGTCACTCTTAATGGTATCCTTGATGTGATATGAGAGATTTGACTGGTATAAATGTAAAATATAAAACTTAGATGTCAAATGTGTAAATACATAGAAATTTAAAGCTGATACTGAAAAATAGTGGATCATGTGAAAGGTGAGGAAAGAGAGATACTGGTGCTTGTTAAGTGGACTGAAGGTCTCTGTAATGAGGTTTTCAGCAGCATGTACTTACAATCCAATTCCTATATATTTACATATCCAACACCAAAACATCACATTTTACATTTATACCGCCAAAATATTTCATATCACATAAAAAAATAATGTTACATTTGTGTGAAAATTGAAGTTTAGGGGTTGGATGTGTAAATAGATAGGAGATGAGTGGTTTGTATGCAAATATTTCTTGTAATAATCCCTTTGGATGCTTTAAAGGCAAAGAGTAAACTTGTTTTAAAATCTTTATGACCTGACTAATTCGTTTGGGGCAGCTTGTGCATTTCAGGATAAACTGCTTATCCTGAAACGCAGCCCGCGGGCCGACTGCAGGGGTCGACCAGCGGTCTGCGTTTAGTGTAAGAACTCAAACACGGTTTCAGATAAGCTGACGAAACGTGCGAACCAAACGGTACAACGGCGTTTTGAAAACGCCGCCCGCACATATAAGCTGCCACAAACAGACCCTAAAAACCCTACAAGACATTACAAAAAAAGTACTTTTATAACATTGAGTCTGATAATTTATGCAACAAATTAAAAAAAAAAATTTTTTTTGAAAATTTTCATTCAATTAAGAAATTGCAATCATACTCTAAGTGAGATATTTCCTTTAAGTACAGAGTATGAAGCTTCCTGGAACTTGCAGAGGGCTCAATAAGTGAGCAAACGGACGCCTGCTTCATTGAAATGGATAAATGTGAGCAAATGGTAAGC